TGAAAAGCGCGGCAAAGTGAATCACACGGTCCTTACACTAACAAAAATTGCTTTAATACTGAAAATGTCAATAAATAAATAATTTAATGGAATTTTCGATTCCCGCACGGAACAACTTTTTGTGTGATCTACAAATTGTGTGATGTGTATGTGAAATTGTATGTCTGTAAACGCAGCCACGATACACGAGAAAATCCTAGTGTAGGAAAAGGTTTTTTGCTGTTTGTTTTTGAGCAAAGACAATCATCAAATGACTTCTCCCGCCCAGGGTAAGGTGAGAGAGAGCGTCAGATTGTTACTGACTAAACCGCTTCCCCCCGTACTTTTTCCTACTTTAGGCCCAGACCACGGTACCTGCGACTCCGGTCTCGATAGGTCACACCATAGATTGACGCATAGGCCACTTTTATCAATACACCACGCGAATGAATGAAGCCGCGGGCGGAAGTTACTTTCAAATGTTAATCTAATCCTCTAACCGTATCTTCTCAACTGTTTGTGTTAACAAAAAAAAAACAGTAGTGTTAATTAACGAGGTAACTTTGACCTTTTTATAGCAACTAATAAGGTTGAAATTTAATCTTCGTATTACGTGCTTGAATTGCTGGTTCAAAAAACAAGACAGTCATTGTAACGAAACCATAGCTCGTTTTTAATCGCGGCAACGCCATCTAGTTATAAAATTTGAACTAAAAGAATGTTTATGAATATTATGGTTTCGTTACTTTTGTCTTTGGTTTTGGTCATAAACAACCGGTGAAGGTTTCCTTTGAATAATATAAGCTTGTCTTATTCATCATTAACAGCTTGTAATCGTTTTGTTTTTTTTTTTGTTAATTTTTTTTGTCGTCATGTAGAGCTGAAACGCACGCTGATCATGTGACGGTTGTGGTTGCAAGTAATGCTAAACGAAAAGGTGACAGGTGAGGGAATGATTATATTTAGTTCTTTTTTAATACAATCTAGCATTTGATGTAGTCAAAAGTAAATTATTTTGTACTTCTGTGTACAAAAACAAAATTCGAAATTCGAAAATGATCTCACATTAATTCAATCATTTTACGATTTTACGTTATGATTAATTTTGAGTTTATTCAGAGTTGTTTTTTTTTCGAAATAGGTATGCTTTTTGACGCGATCACGACACACAATCTCGACAACAAACTGTCAAATTTTATTATAACTTTCGTGAGACATTCTAAATATAATGTTAATAATTTGACGAGATACTCGACTAGTTTCAAGCCGTGCTAGAGGCCCATATATGAGTAGCAGCGCGACAGTCGCCTCGTCGCGTGTCGCGGAATGCTGCTCATGAATATGGGCCTCTAGCAGGACTTGAAACTAGTCGAGTATCAATCGAAAACATAATAATTAACAAGCTGTCAAATTTGATTAGTTGTCAAAAACACAATTCGCCTTGGAGTTTAGAGCGAAGGAGATCGATCACTACGTACGTACTAAGCATTAGCCCGTCTGTCCCTGTAAAGTTGTAGAAATAATAGTTCATTATCCAGCCACCAGTCGCGCTGCCATCGGTAGGTATTATCTGTGAAGTTAGCTGTTTAAGAGTGCAAGTCGATGAAGTTAGTCGAATAATGTACTTAGAATCTTCGCGGCATTGGATATCGTACAACAACCTGCTTTTATTGAAACAACAACTTAGCGATTGCAGCGCCTTACTATATGCATATTTCTGGGACACTTTTTTCTACAGCGATTTCTCTCCTTCCGTCTAATCTCCATGCACTTTGCAATTACTTTCTTCAAAATTAACCAAAGGTGGTGTTGTTTGCTGATGCATAATCATGAATTTTGTAGTTGACAGCTAGTATAAGCTAAACAAATAACTTACTTCTTGAAAATGTGCTAGATTTGCTTGCTACTAATGTTAATTATATCGTAAAATCAATGAATTTGAGTATGTCGAAATAATTTATTTTTGCATTACATTACTGAGGATGATGTTATTCGCCGATGAAAAATCGTTAATAAGATTCAAAATAATACTACAAGCAGGTTTGATATTAGTTTTTCACAATTGAATAAGTAATTTTTAGAAGAAAAAAAATTATAAAAACTATTTAATTTTACTCTATAAACATATAAGTAATATGTTGATAAATTATTGCACGCTGAGATATTCCAATTAATCCTCTATAGTAATGAATATTTTCGATTTTACCCTCTCGAGATGGCGCTAGTGAAGCTTAAGATCATATTAGGCCAATCGGTTTCGATATCGACCGGATTTTGTGAGTGATACGAGCACTCCGGTGGCGACCATTGGTGCCGAAGCATACCTCATGGTAAGCGATTGGCATACCTGCTGCACCAGAGGAGTCGCAGGCATTCCCGGCCTTTTAAGAAGGAGTACGCTCGTTTGTTGATGGTTTGCAAGTCTGGGTTCGGAAACACCGCCGCCGAAAGATCAATTCCAAAATTTTGCTATGCAGGACAAAAAGTTTCGCTTAAAGCGCACAGTTGTTGACTGCCAACCATCTATTTGATGGGGATAAAACGTTTTCGCGAAGAACAATAAAGCGAAAAGAAGCGACGAAAATCAAACCGAACAGTTCCTCAAAACACTACCCGTGATATATGCGATTGAGAACACAATGACATATCGAGGCTACATCCCTACGCAGTGCCAAAGAGTATATTGGGTAATAGACCTTAAGCTACACTAGCGCCTCTATTGGCGCAGAACCTCAGTGCAAAAAGTAGTTACGCTTTAAAATTTAATATTTATGCTTGAACTAAGCTGTCTCTTTGTAGTTATAAATCTTATAATAGGGGTCACGACTTGATATTTTTATGACACAGGCAATATAATCGACAACAAAATAAAATATGTTTTTAGGTCCGGGTAAATAGGTTGGGGCTTATGGGTAGGCGTGCTCCATTGTAGGTCGCATCATCGCTTGCCACCAGGGCCTCGAGTCTGCTATTACAATAGTGTCAGAATATTAGATCATTGGTCTAGACTCAGGCCCCAGGCCAGGGGCCCACGTCTACTATTTTCTAAGTGTTGTCATTCCTACACGATTCCATTGTCATTTTGCTAAAAGTTCGTAATCTGTTAATTCAAAATGGCTGATCATTGGCGTTCGGCGATGTCGTAATAGAATTATAGTAAGAGATGTCTTGTAAAGAATTATAAACAATAACTGCTCATTAATATTCTAAACGTAAATCATTGAATAAAGGAACTGACATGTTTTTATTAATTTACCGCATTGTGTCAAATATTCATTTGTCATTATGTACAAGATTACCGTTCTAAAGAATTATTTCAATGAAGTGGCATTAGTTGATCTTTGGAAAGTCATAATGACGCTATCGTGTTAGTAGATTACCAATCTTGTCAAAATCAACAATTTTGAAACCAATGTTCTATTATTTTGACACTATTGTAATAGCAGACTCGAGGCCCAGCCATGATAGCGGCCAAACGCCAACCCAATACGAAATAAATTTGACTTAAATTTTATTCCCTGTCGTCATCCTTATTATGTCCAAGTCTGTCAAAAAACCAGCCAGTTATTGCAGGGTTTTTTCTTAACTATGTATGTCTGCCTGTCGTTCCCTGTGCCGCCTGATTTTGTAATCGTTTCAAGCATGTGTTTTGTCCCTTATTGTCTATTTTTTTTTCTTTTCAGAGAATCTGCATCTGAGTAAGTAGAGTTCAGTAAGTGTGCATGGCTTAATTACAGGCTTTTATTGAACTTGTATGTATTTTTGTATGCTTGTGAAATGGATTCTTATGACTACATTGTTTTTTTTTATACACCTTTAGTTAGCATAATTATTAACATTAATTGCTAAGCTATTTAACCTCACTGTATTACTCTTAATCCATAAAAACGTAGTATTAGATATGGGACTTACGCGTCTAGGGTTGCAAGCATAACAACATTTTTTTTATTATCTCTTGCTAATTAATAACCTTTTTATTCACTAGCCACTAGACCACAACAGGGATGATGACACGTAATCAAATTCAACGCTCGTGGAATTTCAAAAACTATCTGTGAATTTTGAATGAGTTTTACTTACTTTCTATTTAACTTTAAGTACTTAAAGAAAATCAATTCTGTGTGAGTTTCTTTATTTTTAGATACAGTACAGTACTCTTATACAGGGTGTTATTTTTAACAAGGATCTTATTGGTCTTCATGACCAATATGTATGTATGTAAAAAAATGTTAACTTCTCCATATCAAATCATTACGAATCAAAATCATTTATTCCAACTAAACCATATATAGGTACTTTTGAAACGTCAAAATAGAATAGTAGTCTGTCATTCTGTTTGTCAGTGAAGCTAGGTGCTTGTTCCAAATTGTAATTTCCAATGGAGAAGAACGAGCAAGAATCTCAATCGTTACTTTTTTTAAAAAAATATTTGTTTTACAATTCACCAATAATACATTTTTTATACATTACTGTACCCTATGTGAGAACAATGCAGAGGCAAGTTGTTACTAAAAAGGAACAAATGATGGTATCTATCATTAAAATTTTAATCCCTTGTCGTCTCGAACATAGCACTCACATATGCGTACTCACAATCCAAAAGAATGCTTCTATATAAACTCATTAAAGGTTTCATTAATTTTGAGTATTTTAATAACTAAATAAAATTAAAAAATAATCTGTCAGCTGTTTAGGCGATTTGTATGGAGCAATATTTTTTTATTGTGTCATCATCCTTTGTTGCCGCGCATCATGTTCTGTAGCAGGGTCTTTGGAGTAACAATCATGCTATGCAACATGTTACGCGACAAATGTTGTAAGATTAATAGAAGCTTTCTAACACGAATACTAACCTCATTCTTTATTTTGTCGTGTAATGTACACAAGACCCAAAGTATTATACTTATTATGGTAGTGTATACTGGTTTCATAGCAAACGGTAGTAGTAGCCCAAAGATTAACGCACCTGTTTCTCTTATGGGTTTTTTTAATGGCATAGTCGGCAAACGAGCAGTTGAATGATGATGGTAAGCAGTCAACGCCGCCAATGGACTTGGACTTACTAAAAGGTTTCGGATGTTTAAGGTTGAGAAGGAATGGGGAGTGATGGGGCCTCTGGTTCTTAACAAAGAAAATATTAGAAAAATAGTGGCGGAAATTGAGAAAAAGTGACCCTATCTTTGTTACGGAGATAGTTTATCCCGCGCGAAGTGGGGGCGGGCCGCTATTAATAAATGAATAAATATTTACGGAGACGAAAGGACGATATTGTATTATATTATTTTTATGTAATTTATTCGATATCTATTATTATTATTATTTTTTATTTGTTAGGACGGCAAACGAGCAGACAGATTACCTGATGGTAAACAATCAGCGTCGCCCATGGACACCCGCAACAAAGAAGGAGATACGAGTGCGTTGCCGACCTTTTAGGGGCTGGGATTTTGGGGATTCAGGGATTGGGAAGGGATTGGGGTAGGGTAAGGATTGGGCCTCCGGTAACCTCACTCACGCGGCGAGACACAACGTTGTGGTTGTTTCACGCCGGTTTTCTGTGAGGCCATGGTATAACTCCGGTCGAGCCGACCCATTCGTGCCGAAGCATGGCTCTCCCATACTTAAATTCAATCGCTTCTTGATATTTTTCGGTTGATTGTAGTTCAAAAGTGGGAGAGTGATACTTCAGGAGGAGTGGCTCGAGTGGATTGAAATCGACTGTATAACAATATAGAGAGTGCACAAATAACCTTGTAATCCATATTTAAGTATACAGATTACAAAGTTGCATAGAAGCCAAGTCTATTGGAAGGTTGTTATACGCCCGACCAGAACCAAACCTGAGCGTACGGCACGTTACGTTCCGCACGCGCCTTAGTGCCAATAGACCACCACAGACGGGGCCCTACAGGGCCGATTTTCAGTCAGGGTTGCGGGGCTAGCGCAATAAGGTACCGCGACCTCGACCTAAAAAAGGAACAGGGGATTTTTAGTCAGTCAGAGTCTGACATTCCCTCTCGACTCACCCTGAGCACGAGTTCTATGGCCGTCGGAGCGCGCCACCTCCAGGTGGGTCCCAAATAACGGCAGGAGGAGTTACCATCGGCGTCGAGTCGGCGATGAAGTACCTGGGTCTCGTCCTCGACAGCCGATGGAACTTCACGGAGCATTTTCGTCGTTTGGCCCCTAAGTTGGAACGGTCTGGGGCCGCGCTCAAGCAGCTCCTTCCCAACCTCGGGGGGCCAAACGCCTCCTGCCGGAGGTTGTATATGGGGATTGTGCGATCCATGGCCCTCTACGGTGCCCCTGTGAGGGCGCCGGACTTGAAGCGGCGGCCGGCTCGTACGCTGCTCGCGTCCCAGAGGGTCATGGCTATCCGAGTAATCCGCGGATATCGCACGATCTCCGGGGAGGCGGCGAACCTCCTTGCCGGATCACCGCCGTGGGATCTAGAAGCGAAGGCGCTCGCGCGCGTCTACAGTTTGCGCGCAGACGCGCGTCGCCGGGGCGAAGATCCTCTGCCGCGCCAAATTAGTGCGTGGCGGAATGAGCTCCGGCGAGATCTCATGGCAGAGTGGAAACAACGACTGTCGCAACCGAGGGCCGGGTACGCTACCATAGCAGCGGTAAGACCCCTCTTTGAGGAGTGGCTTGAGAGACGCCACGGCGTCCTCACCTTCCGTCTGACGCAGGTGCTTACCGGGCACGGCAGCTTCGGTAGGTTCCTGTTTCGGATTCAGCGGGAGGAAACGCCCGAATGTCGTCATTGTGAGGACCACCTAGAGGATACGGTGCAGCATACGGTAGCGGTATGCCCTGCCTCGGCTGAGCACCGCCGTATCCTCAGGGAAGTGATCGGCGGCGGCGACCTCTCGCGCCCGGCCTTAGTCGAGGCCATGGTGCGGAGTGAGAGGAACTGGGACGCCGTCTCCTCCTTTTGTGAAGCGGTCATGCTCGCAAAGAGAGAGGCGGCCCGCGTGAGGGAGCAATCCTCCTCCTCACGCCCCAGCAGCCGCAACTGGCGACACTACGGGCGTCGGGGATCGAGGGACGATCTCCGGCCACCGTAAGCACGGGCCTGCGGTCGGCGAGTAAGGGCAGCTCGCCGCCCGACCAGAACCAGGCCCGAGCGTACGGCGCGTAGCGTTCCGCGCGCGCCTCAAAGAGCCATTCGACCACCACAGACGGGGCCCTAAAGGGCTGATGTTCAGCCGGGGTTGCGGGGTAAGCGCAATGAGGTACCGGGACCTCGGCACAGAGCAGGAGAAGGAACAGGGGGGTTTTTAGTCAGTAAGAGTCTGACACTCCCTCCTGCCCGGCCCTGGGCGGGAGAAGTCATTTGATGACTTTCCCCTCAGAAAAAAAAAAAAAAAACATTTTTACAAGATTGATTTTTTTTCTGGCGCAGTCACAAACTATATGAATATTTCGTTTTGCATACAACATAATTAGGTACCTTATTCATAATTTCGTTGCTAATTCAAGATGGGCACACTATCGCAAAGGACATTTCTGCATTAGACCGCAATTTGCACCAAGGTTCACATGCAGACGCCAGCACATCAACCTAGCCCTACTTGCCAAGATTTTCGACTTTATTTTCTTGTTATAGAGTAGAAAATTTTATGTAAATAGATTGGGGTAGGTTGGCTAGCTTGTTTACGTACAGTCAGCGTCAGCGACGCTTTGCCAGTGAAAATGACACACCTATCTATATGGTGACTTTGTTGTACCGACATTTTGTTGGCTTGTGTGCGTCTATATAATCAAGTACCTTAAACGTCCCTATATGTCTGACGCTGACTGTACCAGTTCATATGTCATTCAGGATATTTGGATCCAATGTGTGAATGGAATTACCTATCGTTGATAACGTTATGAATATTTTTCACCAGATTCATAGAAAATCAAATAAAAGAATCACTGCAACAAGATAAGGGGCAAGGATGCAATATGCCTGAATTGGACCCGTTCGCTCCTGAACTGGTGGCGTTGGAAAAAAAGAAAAGGCCTAGTATAGTCTGCAACGATAAGGATTGGGTGAAATGCTACGTAAGTAAAACGTTAAGTTTTTTATGTGATACTAGCTACTCTCGCTCGGTTTCACCCGTTGGTCTTCTCCTTACGATCGTAGCGTGATGTTTTAGCATAGCACTCGAGAACATTGTAGCTATCTATCAGTGAAAGAATATTGGCAATCCGACCAGCGGTTCTAAAGATTACCCCCAACAAACAAACCAATTTTACCTCTTTATAATATTCGTTTTTATATAATAGTCTGTCAATCTGTTCGTCATTGAAGCTAAGTGCTCGTTCCAAAGTGTAGATTCCAATGGAGAAGAACGAGCAAGAAAGTTTATGGTTATTCTACATATTTTATGCCTAGAGTGCCACGTCTGACATAAAGGGAGTTTTGGTCAGAAATCAATCTTTATGTAATTGATAGGACTGCAAAACAGCTGACTGATTACCTGATGGTAAGCAATTAGCGCCGCCTATGGACGCCCGCTACAACAAAGGAGTTACAAGTGCGTCACCTTTTAGGGTTTAACGGTATAGAGATTTAGGGATTGGGAAAAGGGAAAGATTGGGCCTTCAGTAACCTCATTGGCGAAGCACAACGCTGTGGTTGTTTCACGCCGGTTTTCTGTGAAGCCGTGTTATCACTCCGGTTATACCGTAGCTTGGTTCTACCACACTCGTAGACTTTGCTGTCTACTTCCAACATTTCGCCCCACACAAGTATTTTCTCCTGTATCGTGGGTGCATGCACAAACATACAATTTCACAAACACATCACACTCAGACCCGGAACAACAATTTGTGGATTAGGTGTCTTCAAGGCTAGAGTGAATAGGCTCTTAATAAACTAGTGAGTAGTGGTGATTAGCTGGTTCTGGCGCACGCGCCAGAACAAGCTAATCACCCGGAATCTAAAATCTGAGTGGCACAAAACCTAAAAAAAAAAAAAAAAAAAAAAAAAAAAAAAGTTTGGTATGCTATCATAGGTTTTGGCATGCTCTGATCACGTTTCTGCAGTCCATTTTTGCGTAGGATGCGTGGTTCTGGAGTTATGCAAATCGGAATCAGCTTCTGAACCCTCATTAACGTTCCTTTGTTTGCTTATCGTTACATTACTTAAAGTCCCATTGTTCGCCTATCGTTATCATTATCAATTGTGCTTCGAATTCTCTCATTACGGTTGCTTTGGTGTTCTTATCTAAATACTCATTGTTAACTTCATTTTGTCTGATTTTCTATATCATCAATAAAACACAGTCATTCATTTTTATTTCGAAATTTTATTACTTTTTTTACAAAATATGAGTGGAACATCTCATCCACTAAATTATCATTGTACAGCGTGTTTCCTGTAAATATGTTCGTAAAACTATGCATTGAACATCCCTGAAACTTAAATAGCAAATACATTAAGCAATATTCGCCACAAACCGAAGTTCAATCATTCTGAATCCTATCAACATTCCAGTCCCACCTCTTACAATTCCTTTTCAAAAACTGAAGATGATATCGCTCAGGTGTTCGTCCATATGAATCAAAATATTGGCCGATACCATTTGTATCGATATGTATGGCTACCCAGTGTGACCCTGGTTTATCATCCGCATCCAAATTGCATATTATATACGTTGGTACATGTGTGTACATAGGTAGTGTATTAGCAGCATAAACATTATTTTCTAGACTGAAATGAATCTTTTTCATATTTTTGTAATTCTAGTGTATCCATGATACTACTGTTATTAGCAGATTATTACAGTACCAATCTATAAAATGGTTGTCATAGGAATGTTCAATGATAGTGATTTGTAAATAAAAAATCGCATTCTTTGTGTAAGTCACAAAACAGGTTCATGTCTGTTGTGATGTGAGATAAGTTTGTTGATTCATAGAGTTTCGTTGTACTTAGGGATGTGTATGTGTGTGTGTCATGTTTTAGATAAGAATGGACTATATATGATGGAACAATTGCAATCAATTGCAATCAGTGTATGGTCGTTTGACCACAGTGAATTGTATACGTCTACCAATACTACGTTTGTGTTACCTACTTCAACGCATCATGGAGGTAAGTGTTTATTCTATTGACAAACTTATTTGTATTTCTGTTGTTGTACGTGTGTATGTGTGTGTGTGTGTGTCAGATTAATCAAATTGATATTAACATGATAACTCTGTTGTTGCAGAGATCATTCAGCTTCGCAGACGATAATGTAAATACCTATAAACAGTTTTACTACTCGCCTCTCTCTCCCCAACACGAAGAAGAGAGTGATGACATCGTTGTTAATAACACAGGCGATGGTGGAAAAAGGAAATCGCAACCGATTGATACATTTTTGAAGTGGCACCAAAAATAAAAAGGCGGAAGCTGCTATCGTCGACTGTGGCACGAGCTGTTAAAGATGGCGTATCATACATCTCTACAAATTCTGACGACGGAGACCAAGCGACGCATCTCATAAAAATTGAAATGTATGATATGAAGAAACTATCCAAGATTCCAACTAGTGATCACTGGAAGCACGCTACCACGAGGATTAAATATTACGTAAAGGATTATAAGGATAGCATCTACGACAACACAAACGGTCTCGTATACAATATTACAAAGACAATAGTAGACAGTGAAAAAGTAAAAAAATACTTTTTTAACAATGACACTCATTAGTCATTAGTGGACTAGTCATATTAATACAAATAAAGGATTCTAAAGATGTTTATAAACTAATCAAACTAATAGTATATGTTACCTAATGATATAAAAGTTTGTGATGAAATGGAGAAGCGTGAACTGTTCGATTTATCGTATGATGATGCTCGGATACTCTCTTCTCTACTTTAATTATAAGTAGTATATTGTATAAGGTTAAATAGGGAAGGTTTAAAAATAAATAAAAAATAATACATTGCATACATTTTGTTTAATTAAATTTTATAATGTTTACACACACAAAATGCATTAAGAGTAACACATATATCTAAAACACAATACACATTATAATCCTAACTACTATAGTCTACAGTAACATTTCTATTTTTATCTATTTCAATAATATTATCAAACTCAGCATAAACAATACAGTTAATTGTTTGTATTAGTGAGTATTCAAATCGTACTTCTAATCTTACACTACCATGCTTTATGAGATTCCAATGGGCTGATGAGTTAGCTGATAAATCAGGAGTTAAATCAAATGCTAAAAGACAGTAACCTTTGGCATATCTACTGTTCACGTGAGATTGCATTTCCTTCATTAAGAAAGTGAATAGAGTATGATACGCTGATGTAAATATATTATTATTAAAAGATGGTTGCAAAGCTTTGGATGGTATTTGTTGACCATCAATATATAAGCTGAAAGAGTTAATACCATAATTTTCAAAGTTAAATGGATTTTTAGTTAGTGAACCATTAAATGCAGAATTATTCACAAAACCTATAATACATCTTTTGGGTACCTGTCCTAAGAGTTTTTCCTTGAACACCCGATGGAATTGTTAAAACTTTAACTTTAGCACGAGTAATAGGATATTTAGCAGTGGTAGAAGCTAAAACTTTCTGATGAGCGAGTAATACACTTGGATTAATTCGTGCTCTTCGAACAATAAGAGTTGCGTTCGTAATGCAAACTTTAAACTTTACATCATTTGACCCAGCAAATGAGCATTACTCTCTGGTTTATATCTTGTATGTAAAAGTGTAGATCGGGTAGCATCTTACGCAATTCATGGAAATAAACTAAAATTTACTGGTATTTCTTTTCCGGTTAAAATTGCAGATATATCAAAAGTTGAGAAATTAAACAATATTAGTATTAATGTTTTTGGCTTACCTAATAAAGAAAAAAAGTGTTCCAACAGAATTATTCGGTCCTTTATATTGAACAAAATGTCGTACACCTAATCATATTAACCTACTATATATATCGAATGGTATTAAAAATCATTACTGTTATATTAAAAACTTATCGCGATTAGTTAGTTCACAAATATCAAGACAACATTGAGAGTTTATATATGTGATTCATGTTTACTTCATTTCCCATCAGAGGAAAGACTTAATAGCTATCGACAATATGATTGCGCTCACATTTGTACGGAATTACCAAACGGTGAGTATTCCAAAAAGGATTGGTTTGGTAAACCGACCTCAAATAATAAAATAAAATTTGACAAATTCGTGAAAAAGTTGGAAATGCCCTTTGTGATTTATGCAGACTTTGAGGCATTTTTGAATCCAATAGAATCATGTAGTAACGATCCATCTCAGCCAAGTACGATTAATATTCAAAAACATGAAGTGTATAGTTTTGGATATTATATTAAATGTTCATATGATAACAGATTATCAAAATATGAGACGTATAGTGGGTCAAACTGTGCACAAGTGTTTATGAATCGCCTTTGTGAAGATGTGAAAATAATAGTTAAAAAAAAATAGTTTCCAAGAATGCCCCGTTCCATTATCAGATGAAGATAAAATTAAAATTTCAAATTCAAACATATGTTATATTTGTGAAACTGAGGTAAATGAAGATCTTTTTTACGATTTTGATTGGCACACTGGCAGTTTTAGGGGTGTTGCACATCAATGCATGTGTGTAGTTCTAAGTACAGAACCCCTCGTCATATCCCAATATTCTTACATAACCTCAGTCACTACGATGCTCATTTCATTGTCCATGCATTAAACTTCGATGATGACAAAGTTGAAGTTATTCCACAAAATAAAGAACGATACATATCATTTTCAAAACAGTTAACAATAAATAATCAACCGGTAAGTTTAAGATTCGTAGGTTCATTGAAATTTTTATCGTCTAGTTTAGATCAACTAGCTAAAAATCTTAATGATGATCAGTTTACAGAACTAAAAAGGAACTATCCTAATAATGAAGACTTTTCACGTTTAAGACGGAAAGGTATTTATCCTTATGAATTTATGTGTAATAGTGATTGCTTGAAACATCCATCACTTCCTGATCAACACCAATTTTAAAGTTCACTCACAGATTCAAATATTTCAAATGATGATTATAATCATGCAAAAGATATTTGGTAACATTTTAAGTGTAGTAGTATGTCTGATTATTCCAATTTATATTTAAAAACTGATGTTTTACTTTTGACTGATGTATTTGAAAACTTTAGAAAGCTTTGTATTAAAACTTATGGATTTAGATCCTGCTCATTACTATACTGCCCCAGGTTTAAGTTGGGATGCAATGTTAAAATTTACCAAAATAGAATTAGAATTGTTAACGGACTATGACGAAATTGCTTTTTTTAAAGTTGGTATTAGAGGGGGTGTATCTCAGTGTACCAATCGTTTTGCTAGAGCAAATAATAAATTCATGGAAGATTATAATAGTGAAATACCTAATTCATACCTAACCTATTTTGATGCAAATAATTTATACGGTTGGGCAATGTCTCAATCTCTTCCTGTTGGTGGTTTCGAATGGATTGATTCTAATACAGATTACAATGTATCGGATAACTCTGATTTCGGTTATGTTTTAGAAGTTGATTTGGAATATCCTGATGAACTTCATAATTTGCATTCTGACTTTCCGTTGTGTCCTGAAAACATATGTGTGGGTAATACTAAAAAAACTAAATTAGTTCCTAATTTAAATAATAAAAATAAATACATCATTCACTACAGGAATTTAAAACAATGCATTGAAATGGGGATTAAATTAATTAAAGTATGTACATAGAATTTTAAAATTTAAACAGAGTTCTTGGTTAAAGAAATACATAGACTTTAATTTAAGAACGTTAGCTACATCAAACTTTGAAAAAGACTTTTTTAAATTAATGAACAATTCTGTCTTCGGTAAGACTATGGAAAATATTGAAAAAAGAGTAAACGTTAAACTACTAACTCACTGGGATAATCGTGGTAAAGTTTTAGGTGCTCAGGATTGGATTGCAAAACCAGAATTCCACAGTTTATCAATGTTTTCAGAAAATTTAGTCGCAATACAATTACGGAAAACAAAATTAATTTATGATAAGCCGATTTATTTAGGATTTTGTATTTTAGATTTATCTAAGACCCTAATGTATGAATTTCATTATAACTACATGATTAAAAAGTTTCATAATAAAATTAAGTTATTGTACACCGATACCGATAGTTTGATATATCAAATTTTCACAGACAATTTTATGAGGATATAAAACCAGATCTACTTCACTATTTTGATACATCAGATTACCCGGAAAATAATATTTATGGATATCCAAAAATAAATAAAAAAAGTTGGGTTTTTTTAAAGATGAGAATAATGGTAAAGTATTGAAGGAATTTGCAGGGTTGCGATTAAAAATGTATGCATTAGAAATAGAAGATAAATTTATAGCCAAGGCAAAAGGAGTTAACAAAAGTGTTACCAAAAAAATGAATATGGAAAATTACAAATCGTGTTTGTTTAATAAAAATGTATTATATTGTAGTATGCTTCGATTCAAGTCAATCAAACACACTATTTTTACACAAAAAATAAATAAAACATCTTTATCATATAATGATACCAAACGATGTATTATGAACAACAACATTTATATTATAAATTACGTTAAGTGTACCTAACACTTTTTACTTTTATTTCTGTGTGTATATACAAAATTTGTACTAATTGTAAAAGTATGATATTACTATAATGCTATATAATAGTTTATTACATATTTAAAATTTATTGTTTGATTGTAAATAATGTAAAATAATTTTAGTTTTTTGTATGCTTAAATTTGGCGTTGAGGTGATTGTGAAATTCTGATAAGTACTAATTGTGTAAGAAATAGTATACAGATCATTCTATTTTTCACAAATTACATGTTTGTATAATTTTAGCTAACATTTGGTAAATTATATAAAGGCTGCATTTCATCAAAACACCATGTGATCTGATTAAAATTACAAGTACATATTTCTTTAACTGATTTTATGAAATTTGTTACAAAATTTGACTTCCCACATCCACTTGGTCCTGCCACAATAGCAGTAAACGGATGGATAAAAATTATTTTTAACAAAAAAAAAACCGACTGGCACCGACTTCAAAATTATAAAATAGTTACTAAATATTATTTTCTATTTAACTAAATGAAAGTTTGTATTACTTTAAACAAAGTAAATTTATTTTTAACTTTTGAATTTACTTTTGAAGTCGGTTTTTTTTACGGAATTAAAAGGATGGATAAAAATAATTTTTAACAAAAAAAAAAACCGACTGACACCGACTTCAAAATTATAAAATAGTTACTAAATATTATTTTCTATTTAACTAAATGAAAGTTTGTATTACTTTAAACAAAGTAAATTTATTTTTTACTTTTTAATTTACTTTTGAAGTCGGTTTCTTTTACGGAATTAAACGGACGGATAAAAATAATTTTTAACAAAAAAAAAAAACCGACTGGCACCGACTTCAAAATTATAAAATAAGTTACTAAATATTATTTTCTATTTAACTAAATGAAAGTTTGTATTACTTTAAACAAAGTAAATTTATTTTTTACTTTTGAATTTACTTTTGAAGTCGGTTTTTTTACGGAATTAAACGGATGGATAAAAATAATTTTTAACAAAAAAAACTTCAAAAGTAAATTAAAAAGTAAAAAATAAATTTACTTTGTTTAAAGTAATACAAACTTTCATTTAGTTAAATAGAAAATAATATTTAGTAACTATTTTATAATTTTGAAGTCGGTGCCAGTCGGTTTTTTTTTTTGTTAAAAATTATTTTTATCCATCCTTTTAATTCCGTAAAAAAACCGACTTCAAAAGTAAATTCAAAAGTAAAAAATAAATTTACTTTGTTTAAAGTAATACAAACTTTCATTTAGTTAAATAGAAAATAATATTTAGTAACTATTTTATAATTTTGAAGTCGGTGCCAGTCGGTTTTTTTTTTTGTTAAAAATTATTTTTATCCATCCGTTTACTGCTATTGTGGCAGGACCAAGTGGATGTGGGAAGTCAAATTTTGTAACAAATTTCATAAAATCAGTTAAAGAAATATGTACTTGTAATTTTAATCAGATCACATGGTGTTTTGATGAAATGCAGCCTTTATATAATTTACCAAATGTTAGCTAAAATTATACAAACATGTAATTTGTGAAAAATAGAATGATCTGTATACTATTTCTTACACAATTAGTACTTATCAGAATTTCACAATCACCTCAACGCCAAATTTAAGCATACAAAAAACTAAAATTATTTTACATTATTTACAATCAAACAATAAATTTTAAATATGTAATAAACTATTATATAGCATTATAGTAATATCATACTTTTACAATTAGTACAAATTTTGTATATACACACAGAAATAAAAGTAAAAAGTGTTAGGTACACTTAACGTAATTTATAATATAAATGTTGTTGTTCATAATACATCGTTTGGTATCATTATATGATAAAGATGTTTTATTTATTTTTTGTGTAAAAATAGTGTGTTTGATTGACTTGAATCGAAGCATACTACAATATAATACATTTTTATTAAACAAACACGATTTGTAATTTTCCATATTCATTTTTTTGGTAACACTTTTGTTAACTCCTTTTGCCTTGGCTATAAATTTATCTTCTATTTCTAATGCATACATTTTTAATCGCAACCCTGCAAATTCCTTCAATACTTTACCATTATTCTCATCTTTAAAAAAACCCAACTTTTTTTATTTATTTTTGGATATCCATAAATATTATTTTCCGGGTAATCTGATGTATCAAAATAGTGAAGTAGATCTGGTTTTATATCCTCATAAAATTGTCTGTGAAAATTTGATATATCAAACTATCGGTATCGGTGTACAATAACTTAATTTTATTATGAAACTTTTTAATCATGTAGTTATAATGAAATTCATACATTAGGGTCTTAGATAAATCTAAAATACAAAATCCTAAATAAATCGGCTTATCATAAATTAATTTTGTTTTCCGTAATTGTATTGCGACTAAATTTTCTGAAAACATTGATAAACTGTGGAATTCTGGTTTTGCAATCCAATCCTGAGCACCTAAAACTTTACCACGATTATCCCAGTGAGTTAGTAGTTTAACGTTTACTCTTTTTTCAATATT